CCACTTCTCAAATTAAAGTGGGCCATAAGATTTGTTTTATAAGAAGACCAGAAGCTCAGTGGACCAGAGTGGGTTTTTGAAAAAGGAGCAGAGCTAGCATTAAATACATCTATTTCCTTATTTACTCAGTATGTACTTATGAGTGAGTACATACCATATTCATATTTTTGGGTCTGGGTTACCTCACTCAGGATAGTGTTTTCTAATTCCATCCATTTGCATGCAGAATTCAAGATGTCATTGTTTTTTCTCCGCTGAGTAGTACTCTAATGTGCCACATTTTCTTTATCCATTCTTCAGTTGAGGGGCACCTAGGTTGTTTCCAGGTTCTGGCTATTACAAATAATGCTACTATGAACATGAGCATCTTTTGGGTATATGCCCAAGACTGGTATTACTGGATCCTGAGGTAGGTTGATTCCCAATTTCCTGAGAAACCGCCATACTAATGTCCAAAGTGGTTTACAAGTTTGCATTCCCACCAGCAATGGATGAGTGTTCCCCTTACTCCACATCCTCTCCAACATAAGCTATTATTGGTGTTTTCGACCTTAGCCATTCTGGCAGGTATAAGATGGTATCTCAGAGTGGTTTTGATTTGCATTTCCCTGATGGCTAAGGGTGTTGAACATTTCCTTAAGTATCTTTTGGCCATTTGAGATTCTTCTGTTGAGATTCTCTAGTTCTGTACCCCATTTTTTAATTGGGTTATTTAGAATTTTGATGTCTAATTTCTTGAGTTCTTTATATATTTTGGAGCTAAGTCCTTTTTCTGATGTGGGGTTGGTGAAGATATTTTCCCATTCAGTAGGCTGGTTTTTTTTTTCTTATTGACTGTGTCCTTTCCTTTACAGAAGCTTCTCAGTTTCAGGAGGTCTCATTTATTTATTGTTGCTTTCAGTGTCTGTGCTAGCTAGTGGGTACTAGCTCTAAACAAAGGCTATTGAGCCTATAGTTCATGATCCTAGAGAAGCCAAGTAATAAGGTGAGCCCAAAGAAAAACATATATAGATCCACCTGGAAATTGGAAACAGACAAGATTGCCTGACAAAATTGGGAGCATGGGGGGTGGGGGGAGAAGGGAAGGTGGAAGGGGAAGAAGAGAGTAGAAGGAGAGGGGTGAGGAGAACTTGAGGGAATGTGATGGAGGAAGAACAGAGATGAGAGCAAAGAAAGAGATATCTTGATTGAGGGAGCTATTATGGGGTTAGCAAGAAATCTCTAGAGAAATTCCCAGGAATCCACAAGGATGACCTCTGCTAGGACCCTAAGTAATAGAGGAAAGGGGGCTCCATCTTGACTTTCCCTGTAGTCAGACTGACGAATATCTTAAATATCACCATAGAACCTTTATCCAGCAACTGATGGAAACAGAGGCAGAGACCAGCACTGGAGCACTGGACTGAGTTCCCAAAGTCCAGTTGAAGAGTGCGAGAAGTGAGAATATGAGCAAAGAGGTCAAGACCATCTTGGGGACACCCACTGAAACAGTCTACCTGAGCTAATGGGAGTTTACCACCTCCAGCCAGACTGGGAAGGAACAGCATGGGACCAAACTTGACCCTCTGAATGTGGTTGACAGTTGCATGGCTGGGGCAGACTGAGGGGCCACTGTCAGTGGCACCAGGATTTGTCCCTGCTGCATGTACTGTCTTTTTAGGAACATATTCTCTTTGGATGGATGCCTTGTTCAGCCTAGATATAGTAGGGAGGGCCTTGGACCTTCCCCAAAGCAATGTCCCTTACCTTCTCTGAGGATTGGATGGGGGTGGGGTGAGAGGGTATGTGGAGGGAATGGAAGGAGGGGAGGGAGCAGGAAAGGATACAGAACCCCTGCAAAAGAAGATCCTCCAGCCTCATACTCCTCTGGTTGGGAATAGTCGGTGCTTGATTGTTCATGCTTCTGGTGAAGATTACAGAACACAAACAGAACCAGCGAGGACCACATCCTTCTCCAACCCAAGATGCTTGGTGATGATGTTGATCTGCAAGGTCTTTGGACACCACAGAAATCTTCAGGTTCCCCCTCAAATGGTTCTCGGTGCTCACCCGATTTCTCTCCCCACCTGCAGAATGGGCTCTGCTTTGCATATCTTCTGAAAATTCTCCTTGTTGGCTTCTTCCACCCATTTCTCCAGCAGGGGCTGCAGCTTTCATGTGTTCTTGAAGCTAATCTGCAGCTCCTCAAAGCAGTAAATGGTTGTCTGATTGAATACCTTTTTAAAAAGAATTCCCAGGGTGAGCACCATTGTCAGCCTGAGTGTACCCCAGGATGAGCACCATTGTCAGCCTGAGTGTACCCCAGGGTGACCCTCTTCTGCTTCGGCTGCTTGACAAAATGATCTAGTTCTTTCTTCAGGGCCATCATGCCTGTGACTCCTTAGGACTCTGTTCTATCTTCTCTACCTTCATGGCACTGTGGTGGATAGGACATGGACCAGGAGAGGCCCCCTCCACTCTGACTTCTGCACGGCCTTCAAGCTGCAAAGTTTCTGGGCCAGCTTGGGGAATTAGGTCCACTCCAACCTGAGATCCACACTAGGCTGTCCCTCCACAGAACTCATATGGCAGCAGACATGGGGATATCCCCAACACCTCTGAGCCTGGCCCGAGTATTGGCCAGCTAGCAAGCCCTGGTAACTTAACCAGGTCGTCCACCCAGTCTGGGTCCTGCCCTCCTGATTCATCACCCCCACTTAGTGGGGATGAGAAAACGAAGTCTGACTATGGGGAGGAATGAGAAGGCTTGTTGGGTCTACCTTCGGAAATGTAATCTGCCATACTCACCTGCAATAGTGTTTACCTACTTCTAAACCGCACTTTGGGGACTGAAATTGTCAGAATCTTGACAGAGGCTATACCAAGTACTCTGCCTACACCCGGAACATTCCCTCACAGCTACCTCCGCATCATCTGTGTGATGACATCAGGAGACATCATTTCTCCACTTGGAGGCATTCACAGCACTGAACTTTTGCAATGCTGTCCCAGACCTCCACTTTTTACAGTTTATGTTCTGGTTACCTTCAGCTTTAAAGGTCTACATTTCCAACCCATTTGTGGTACCCTGGAATAAGAAGGTAGTATAGTAAGAAATTTCATCTCTCACTAACTGCTGTGAGAACATTTTTCCTGTCAAATGTAGTTCGTTCTGTGGTGAGGGTGTTTCTGAACATTTCCCTTCATGCAGATTAGCCAGTCATGTCAGAGTGAGACTTCCCTTCCACCAATGGGATGAGACTTCCCTCCCACCAATGGGATGAGATTTCCCTTCCACCAATGGGATGAGACTCGGTCACCACCTATATCTAAAATAAAAGATAGGCGCCATCTTGGCCCTGGTATGCTTCCTAGCCTACTCCGGGTTTGGGTGCACCCTTTTACAAGAAAGAACGGCCTTGCTGAGCTACCTAAACTTAGTTTGCATGTTTCTTTGTGAGAAGCTGAGGTTGGTCTTTGTTTCTGCCAAGCTTTAGCAGTAAAATGGGAAATAATACTTTCCACAGAAATGTGAGGAGGTTTAAGTGTGTGTAGACGTACAAGCAAAATACCCATTTAAAAAAAAAAACAAACAAAACTAAAATCATCTGATAAAGTATTTTCATGGCAAATTTTATTCCTCAGCAAACAATATGACAAGGTTGGAAGAATTTGGGAACAAAGGGTCATGATTGTCAAGGTTCAGTGACTCCATAAAGACAGATGCATCCAATCTCACCATATTTACCTAGAACCTGCTTAGTTGCTTAATTACTCTGTGCCCCAGTGATTTCCAATAAATGCAACGTGATCATTACTGGTTTTATTAATTTCTCCACAGTGAAATGAGAAGTTCCAGTAAACCAGTGACTTTGAGCATCCTCAGACCCTTAACTTTTTAAAACTTGTTTTGTAAATTGGCATACCATGTCATAGGCTTCCTTATGAGATTTTCATACATACTGTGTTCTCACAGATCCTCTTCTCCACTCTTCCCTTCCGTATCCCTGCTCATTTTCCACTTTTATGTCATGTGTACCCTATCACTACCCTCTTCTCACCTTCCCAGGTTCTCTCTTATGACTCCCTTTCCTCTCGCGATCCTCTGCAGGAAGAGTTTGTGGTTAATGAATATGATGAGATAGATTTCTCCCGGTCTCGGACATCTATTTAAAATACAGCCACTTCAGCATCATTGACTATGTGTATATGAAAATCAAGACTATGAAATGATCTCAAGTACTCCACGTACACGAAAAAGTCAAAGGGACAGGAAGTGATTAGAGAAAACCAATAATCTCATACTTAATTTGTGTGTCTTGGAGGAGAGCGACCTCTCGCCTTCGCTGACGTTGCTTTCACCTGGACTACGCCTTCCACGAGGAAAATCTCCAGAGGGGAAAAAAAATGCCCTCAGCTTTTCTGGCTCTCGCTCAGTGCTAGGGATGAGATACAGGTGAAAGTCAGTCCTTCCATTCGCTCCTAAATAAGTTTTATTTCAAAAAGAGTTGGTAGGTGGGCAAAATGGCTACACTACCTGTATCCAGTAGGAGTATGTATGTGCAGGTGTGAGACTTTGGTGATTCATCAATTTGTCTTGTGATGTCTCAGATCTGAGTTTAGCGTCATCTCAGAGTTTATGTAAGGAGGTGAGTCTTTAATTTTGTGTTTATGAGTCTTTCTGAAGTAGTAGGTCACAGGTGTGTTTGGGTCCAACCCAGGCGTGTGTAATGTAGAGTCTACTCCCGTGGAAGCGGTTGTACCTGTGTCTGGTGTCGGGGGAGGGGCTCTTTTTTCAGTTGGGAGGAAGGTAAGTGCGTGGTTCTGGCCCCGTGGGAAGAGGTGCAGGCGGCAGGTGTGCTAGCCGCAGGGGCCAGAGGAGCCGCGTGCAGCCTGCAGGGGGCGCCGCCCGGGGCGATTTGGTTGCGGCGCCTGCCCAGCAGGGCATTTCCGCTCCGCCGCCCGGAGCGCTCCCCGCGATCCTCTTGGCCGGGTGCAGGTGAGACGCTGAGCGGGCTGGGACTGGGAGTCTGGGGCGGCTTAGACTCAGTCACCAGCCAGCGGAGCGTGGGCCGCTAGTGTCCCTGCAGGTGCGGGGCCGGGCGGGCGGAACCCGCGTGGCGGGGAGCTCGTTTGACCCCGGAACCCCGCCGGGGATGGCCCACGCGATGGACGCGGTGGCCACGGCGGGAGACGCAGACGGAGAGCTGGCCTCTGCAGAGCGGCTGCACGCTGCTCGCTGCTGGTGGGACGCATGGCTCCAGCAGGTAGCTTAAAAGCCTAAGTGGAATGAGGCTGTTTTCCAAAGTTCTGCTTTTTAATTTTAGGTGTTTCTTATGCGTGTGGAGGCCAAAATTTGCAAAAGAATTCAAAACCAACTTCTGTGGGTCACTTTCTGGTCTTAGGTTCTTTTGGAACCGTTAATAACACATTTGGAACTTTGGAGATTCTTGCCTTTGAATTCTTGTCGTGGTTTTCATTGCTGTTCACTCTATTAGCCAGTTATAACGGCAAACATAGCCTTGCTCGAAACCCATCAGAGGTGTGCATGTGTTTTAACTTAGCTTAACTTCAAGCTCAGTTTATTCGTGTTGAAGGAATAAGGAAACAAATTAGAGTAGGAGCCATTTTTTTTAAAAAAGAGTAAGCTGAAGGTCCCAGTAAGAAATCATGTGTTAAAAATAAATGCCATCATTGAATCAATTGGAATTACCTCTGAGAGGTAAGTCTTGTGCACACATGTACTTATTTTCTGCTCGTTGAAGGCTTTTTCCTGCCCTGGTTCCTGTAATTGAAGTGCTAACGTGAGGAGCCCTGCAGTTTGGCCTTCTTTTCCTGACCCCGCTCCCAGGAGAAGCCAGAAAGAAGTCCCTGAGTAAGGAGACCAGTCTTCTCCAATGGAGAACATTTGTCTTTAAAAGCTTAGTTTGCAAAGTTAATGGGTGGCTTTTTGTACCGAACTTTTTTTTTTAACTAGTAAACTTTACTAACCATAACCTTAAGCATACAAAAAGCCCAAGGTTGGATCTCCAGCACTGGAAAACAAAGTTGGGATTGGATATGTAGCTCAGTTGTAAACTGCCACCTTGCTATGTGAGAGGGTGAGATGGAATCTTGCTAATGGCTGTTTGTGGTGATCTTGGATAGTGGGTGGGCTGTGTGTGTACAGAACCACAACCCTGCAATCGTTAATTTTTAAGGTAATATGTTCAAGCCAAGTGTGGCGGCTTATGCCTGTAATCCTAGCACCCAGAAGATTGAAGCAAGCCATCCTCAGCTATGAAAGACTTTATGTCAAGAAATAACACCCCCCCCCCACCAACGTGTTCTTTTCCCCTTATTGAGAGAGCTTTTGAGAGCTCCAGTTCTGTCAGTGCTTGAGAAGGACTCACTGCATAACTTTTTATTGTACCCCCCACCCTATAAACTAGTGCCGTCTTGTTTGGAGAGGGATACGGCCCATGGGATGAAGCAATAGAAGGACTGCATCAAAGATCTTAGCAGTCTTCTGTAGAACATTCCCCATCTGGATCCAATAGATATTAGAAATTTTATTCAGAGAGCCTGAGTTAACCATGACTACCCAGCATCTTGACTGACAAATCATCCTTCAGTCAAAGGCTGCTCTGTATTGTTGATGGAACAGCTCTGGGAAGGACAGCCTTGCTTAGGTTGCAGGCCTAACCCCTGGAGCCCAGAGCTGTGTAGGCACTGGTTACTTTGTGAGGTACTGTTACGCTCCCTGGGCTGAGTTCACTGAAAAGGCTAGTTGTTCAAAGTCTCTGGGGTTTTATGACATTGAGTCAATAGATATTATCACCAGTATGGGAAGGATGAAGGGCAAGGCCATGTGCTATTGGAGTAAATGCTTCCCGTGGAGGGACACAGCAAAGGTCTTTTGGGGCCAAACTTTGAGCAGAGGGTGACTTTTTATGGAGGAATGGGACAATGACATTGCTGGTTTTAGATACCATGAGCAAAAGACAGGATGGAAATATGAAACTTCAGAAAGAGCAAGGGAGCCAACAGGTGTGTTGAGACTGCCTGGATCTAGGGACATCTGAACCAGATTGTACTGAGGAAGAAAAAGCTCTCTGATGTTAAGTTCTATTTTTATTAAGGTTCTGATTTTCCTTTTTGGTTGGAAAAATTTTTAACCAAACGTGAAAGCATAGAAGTAATCTGATAAACTTCCAGATAGCCACTAAATAGATGTCATGATTCTGTTCAGCCTGACATGCATTCTTCTTCCCAGCCTCTGTTCATTTAAGACTGGAGATGTAGCTCAGTGGAAGAGCACCTGCCTGGCATTTGCAGGGTCCTTCCTGGGTTTTACCCTCAACACTGCAAGATAAAACAAAAAACAAAAAACAACTGATTTAAAGCAGTTTATTCAAGATAGTATAACAGTTCTCCTTTAAATAATTAGGTTGTACCTCCAAAGAAGGAACTTTTCCTTCTGGGACCAAAAAGTCATCATCACTTCTTAGCAGATTACCTCAAAATGCTCAAATTTTTTATGTGAGTTTGTTTAAAATATTGTGCAAATAAATGATATCTGTTGATTGACCCTTTTAGGCTGGCAGAGATTTAGCAACCTTTCCCTGTAAAGGGGCAAATACAAATTCAGACTTTGCAGGCCCTGAAGTCTTTATACAAATGCCTACCTCTGGAGCTGCCATATAAAAGTAGTCATGGTATATACATATTAAATGTGCATAACTATACTCAAATAATGCTTAATTTTCTAGGTGTGTGTGTGTGAGCACGCACACACGATGCTGTTTAAAATTCCCTGCAAGGTTCAACTTACAGACCATGGTCGGCTGACTTTGATCTGGAGCAGCTCATGAGTTCCTTCTTTCCTTTTTTCTTTATAAAAAAATTATGTATTATGTATATGTGTGTGAAAGTCAGAGGAAAGCTTAGGGGAGTCGGTTCTTCCTTCCACAACACGATTCCAGGGCTTGAACTCAGGCTGTCGTGCTTGGTGGCAGGTGCCTTTACTCACTGAGCTGTTTTTGGCTTCCCGTGGTTTTCATTCATGTTGGTGATTTATTGGTATCTAATTAGACAACTTGGTTACTACCAAGATACGAGTGCCACTATTGCACCCTTAGGATGCTCTTGCCTGTTGAAATCTAAATCTGTTGGTCATTGTTGGGGTTATAGGTGTCACAGCTATGTAAGATTTTTGGTTGCTCCCCCTCCTTTGGCAGTTTGTATAGTACCTTCAGGCACTGTGAAAGCTAGTCCTTAGAGAGGAGGCTTTCAGGTCACATCCATCTCAGATTCTCTGATTCCTGTGTCCAAACTAGGTGGTGTCTTTAGCAATAAGGACTTGTCTTCAACCTCTGGGAGGTAACCAAGGGCAACAGAAACAGCTTGTATTGTTTTGGGAGTCTCTTGGACTCTTCCTGACTCAAAAGGGGCTTCCTGATGCTGGGTACTAGAAATTTTGCTAGAAATCTGTGGATCCTGCTGATGTTGCATTCCCCTCTGTATGGTATAAATGTTTTATTACAATTGGTTAATAAAGAATCTGCTTCAGCCTGTAGCAGGACAGAATATAGCCAGTCTGGAAGAGATACATAGAGAGAGTAGGTGGAGTCAGAGAGACGCCATGTAGACGTAGCTGCCAAAGGAGATAGATGCCAGATCCTTACCCGTAAGCCACAGCCTGTGCCGATATATAGATTAATAGAAATGGATAATTCAAGATGTAAGAAATATGCCTAGCTAGAAATATGCCAGAATCATTGGCCAAACAGTGTTGTAATTAATATAGTTTCTATGTTATTATTTGGGTCTGGGTGTCTGGGAAATGAAGGAGCAGCCTCTGCCTACATCCTGAGAGAAGCATTGTCAGCCCAAATGGCATAACTCCTTTTAAATTATATAAAATTAGTGTTATTTTCCCCCTCCTCCCTTTCCTACTATACTGATGTGTACCTCTGTGTATATACACAAGAGACCAAAGAGGGCAGAAGATGGTAACATTCCCTGGAGCTGTAGTTGCTGGCAGCTGTAAGAAGCAGGCTGACTCTGGTGCTGGGAACCAAACACACGTCCTCTGGAAGAACAGCAAGTGCTCTTGCTGCTGTGTCGTCTCTCCAGCCCCAGTGGAAGGGCAGGGGAGAGAGAAAGGGAAGGCGTTAATGTGTTTATCAGAGGAACCCTCTTCTGATACAGTGACATTAATCCATTGATGTGGGCAGACCCCATGAATCACCTCTAAAGCTCCTCTCCCAACACCTATATTGGGGGTTAACTTTCTAGCACATGAATTTTGGGGACACCATCATAGCAGAGGAAACATTTAAATGACAACAATCTGGGTCCACCTATACAACTTGTTAGCATTCTAGGAAACAGGTAGAAGCTGTTGATTCTGTCGTGGCCCCACAGCTGTGGGTGTCTTCCGTTTTGTCCTGGTGGTATAATCACTGGGCATCTGTTTGACTCGATTAAATTCCACATTATTTGGCCTTGAACTGTCTATTTTTATGTATTTCTGACCCTCTGCCGGACCTCAGATTCCAGTTAGATAAGAGTGACTACACTTTCTTCATTCTTTTTGGCCCTAGTACCTTCCACATAGCAAAGAGTAGGAAAAGGTGAAATTTTGAATAGGTCTGAGGAGAGTAGAGGTACCAGACATTGTCCATTTGTTCAAATCATCACATCTGCTTTTAAAAGTTAATGACCCTTTCATCTTACTGATATAGCAATAGAAGTGTGTTTGTGTGTATAACAATAGAAGTGAGTGTGTGTGTGTATGTGTGTGTGTAGTTATCTTAGGTATTTTTCTATTGCTGTGATAAGACACCACGACCAAGGCAACTTATTTTTAAAAAGGTTTATTTGAGGCTTACAGTTTCTACGATCATCATGGCAGAGAACATGGTAGCAGGAAGGCAGGCGTGGCGCTGGATCAGTAGCTGAGGGCTCACGTCTTGATCCACAAGCAGAAGGCAGAGAGCTCTGACTGGGAACGGCATGGGCTTTTGAAACCTCAAAGCCTGCTTCCCCCTGACACCTCTCCTTCCCAAATAGTCCTGCCAACTGGGGACTAAGTATTTAAGCATATGAACCTGTGAAGACCTTTCTCAAACCATCCTGTAGAAGGGGAGCTTTTATAACTCTATCCTTGGGAATCTGATACCTGCTTCTTGTTCCCGAAAGTTTCTATACCCATGTACTGCCCCCTGTGCACATAACTCAAGACACAAATCTAAAGAAAGGAAGTATAGACCACTAACTCTCT